AAAGCCATCTCCATCGACAAAAGAAAGAAAAAACACTAATGAGATTTGGTGCCATTTTCACAGTCTGAGGCAACTGCAGTATTTTATGAGTGTATTAAACTGGAGGGTTAAATTGCGCCAGAAACAACCTGAAATGGCGTTAACATTACCTTCAGTTAACGAGTAATTAAAGCTGATAGCAAGGTTAATGCGTGTTTTTTTTTAGTTTATTCTTTGTGTGCTTGTACATATATTATTTTTTGTGAAATGTCTTACAAAATAAAATGAAGCACACTAACTTTGTGTTATTCTGAGGTTACATGAGTTTACAGTTGTGCACTGTGTTGGACACACAGTGCACAACTGTAAACATCTAGGGTAGTGTTACTCGGATAGAGCAAGGTTAGCAGACATCAATTTAAATTTAAGGTGATGATGCTGAGTGGATTAATTCACTGAATTCTAAATTTGACACTACCCTAATAACAGCTATTGCTTTCCTATAACTTATTTCGTTTCTTTGTTTTTCAGTCACCGAGCGGGCACCCTACACCAAATGCTCATTTGAGTGACAGCAGCTTCACACCAATAGCTCTTCGTCAAATCAATAAAAGTGAGTGTGAAAGGGTACGAAGGTAATGGCATGTTGCAAAATGTCAACTTTTCCCAGACACTGCCTGCGAAGACAAAAGACAGCAGGAAATCAAATTCATGGAAAAACCTGTAATCTATGTGAGGGCATTCTACACTTGAATGACTCTGCAGAGATTTTGACAGCATCTCAACTTAACAACAAAATAAGAGAACAGTGGAAAGGTTCTCTGCACTGGGGCTTGAGACGGGAATGGCAGTGACCAAACATTCAATGCAACCTTCAGCTTTGCTTACAATTCTTAATTTTTGATATATCCCTCAATTTTACTAAAAAGTTAAAAAGAAAATCACTAGAATCATTACACCCAGTTCTGAGGGTACTAATTTAAAATAAGTACACTAAGCACTTGGGACGTATGTTAAAGTAACTAGTTGTGAAACAGAAGACATCTTCTGCCTGTTCTGTATATATATGCAAACCAGGAAACATGAGGGCATCACTTGTGTTAGCTTAAGAACAAGTACTCGCTGTACACCAGACGAATACAAATGTCCAAGCTGCTCTTCTTGGTGGTAATGAAGCATTTACTGTGGAAGCAGTGTCTCTCCAATACTGACAACTGATTGGTAACGCTGCACGCAGAATGACGGGAGCCCCACTGAACAGAAAGAGATCTGCACTCACGTGTAAAAATTGCAATCACAGACCAAAGTAATTTTGCTGAAATGCCACGTTACCTTAGTAAGCCTGAAAGATGATACTAGGGAAGTGTTAGGAACAGAGGGGGTATACATTTTTGTTTCACAGCAAGTAAAACATAGGACTCTCTGTTACTCTCAGTGAGATTTGGAAGTTGCCAACTGGTCCTTCCACATTGCTGGTACAGGAAAGCTCAACCGCACACAATGTTGTACTGATGAATGCAGGCGGCGTCGCAAGAACACATCAGCTTGAGAGTGCAGATATCCCCCAGCTTGCTTTAAGGTGTAATTATTGTAAGGTTAAACACAAGTTAAACCAATACCTGTGCAGTTGCTGTTATATAGCACCGACACCTATTTCATTCCAATTCGAGTACTAGCTAATAGCTTTAACAGAATGAGTAGCCTTGTTACACCAAGGTCGCTCTTCTCTTCCATCTCCGAAGGAGTAACCGCTTTTTAAGCAAATACCTTCTTGATATTATTAATCCTGTTTAATGTCAGTGGCCAAGGAGGCTTTTTCATGAGCAGATTTAAAGAACACGAGAGTTCTCAGTAGCTTTTTAACATGCAGAGTTTGTCTGTGCGTTCATGATGTACAGAGACAGCAAATGCTCCATGCTAAATGATATAATAGGCTCTACTCATTCTTGATATCCTGGATAAGCCTTCCTGAATGATAAACGTTTTTTTTGTGTTTTCAATTATCGAGTGGATAAAATCTGTGATTAACTGAAATGATTGCGACATCATGTAAAGGTTTTTGATGAGTTTCAGACAGAAAAGCATGACTTTTGTGTGTTGGCGAAAAAGCTCACGAATATTTGGCTCTCTCTCTCTCTCAACTACCCCGATTGTATGAGTCATTAAGTACAATATGACTGACCTTTGAATGATTCATAACTAAACATCCAACCAGCGATGGTTGGAGTACAATTAGTGACGATAAATATCCAATGTTTGATCAACAATGCGCTTTTATTAGTGTCAGCAACTGTCAGTAAACTCTGGGGATCTTGGTGATATCCCACCATGTATGAAAGACTCTGCTAAGTGAAAGTAAATAAGAATAAGAACCAGTTTAATGTGCCAGCACTTTGAGTAATTACTTTACCTGTGCTAATTGTGCCACATATAATCAAAGTAACCCCAACGGATCCAGTGTGCGGTTATATGTGTAGCACAGAGACGAGAGTAAGAAGATGGAATGATTTTTTCCACATGTATGCACCTTGACAAAAGTGTATGTGGAAAATAAAAAGTCTCTTGACCACTATGAAAAAAAGTAAAATAAAAGACATCTCAGAAATACGTCTATCCAAAGGTCAACATACAGAAATAGGGCAATATGAGCACAATATGAATGGGCTTTTCACTCACCCAAACTTTCCATAGCGACATTTTCTCCCATATACAAAGAGAAAATGACAATGATGCCAACTCATGCCACACACAGGCAGAAGCTTTGGGGTCAGTTTCATGGATGCTTAACATCCTTCGGAGTTAAATGCGGTGCTGTCGGGGACCACGAGGAGGATAAGTGTGAGCTCAGAGGACAGATAACATGTTAGGGAAGATCATTTGAGGAAGACAGTGAGGTCAAATCTTGTGGTCTTTTTCTGTTTTCTAAACAGTTGTGAGCTTGTAATTCTCTGAGGAAAACTACAAGAAGATGATCAAGTACATCCAATTCCTCATAACTTCGCACTTGCCGGGAAGAATGAAACATGCAAATTTAAGCCCCCCAGGCAGCAGGAATGCAATTAAGGTAAGCTAGCCTGCTAGCAAGGTTAGTGCTGCTGGATCTGAAGTGCCAGATAGCACCCCCAACACAGCTTCCCTCAGGACTCTTACTCTGCCGGCTGTGCAATGAACCGGCGACCCTTACCACACACCTCCCTTCCCAACACAGCCACTGGTGATAAATTACCTAATCCTCCTATCCCTAGCTGTTTCTATTATACACCCTGAGCCTGTAAAGAACAGCTACAAGGAGAAAAAGCGGGTTGAGAGAACAGACAGCAAGAGGTGGGTGTGAAAAAAAAAAAGAATAGACTTATTGACAGCAACACAATGACAGTGGGAAGATGCACTGGGCAAACAAAAGCAGGAACTGGCAACCATAATCTTCAGTATCAAAAGGACATGTGTGCATGTCATTTTTGATGTTGAAAATCGGGGGCACTCAGAACCACTTAGCACTGCATTTGCAGATAATTGTGTCTGACAAAATACATCTTCTAAAAGGTCCACAGATAGGGCTCAGCGTCTCGTGGTGTATCATTTCAGAAGCAATGGGAATGTCGTAAGAATGAGCAAACCAATAGTGTTTTTCTGCAGTCTTTAGGACGTTTAAAGAATATTCACACAGATGAATGTTCATGAACGTGATTCATGCACATCACTCAGTCATCATTTCAGCTGAGCTGAGAAGCAGCAACCAAAGGACAATGACATCAGTGCTCAAACCCTCCCAGAGGAGTGCTTGTTGTCTCTCACGCTGGTACACACACTGCTATGGAAACCAGCAGGAATGTGAGCATGCATCGGGGTTAAAGGGATAACGTAAGGCACATACACACTGACAAAGAAACAGAAAGGACAGAAAGGCTACAGTGTCAGTCCACTGAAAACAAAGCTGACACGTGACCAAACAGTCCCTGACCAGCTGTATACGACAGCCTGTGTTCAAATTTTCCCCTATTAAAAAGCACCACAGAGGTCAACTGAGGACCAAATGACTCACTGTCTTTGCTAAAGGAAAGTTCACCAACAGTGTTTTAATCTAAGAGTGCAGTACAGCAGGTCTATTACTGAGCTTGATTTCACAAGTGTCTGCGAGAGATGTGGTTTCATAGTAGAGTGCTGCCAAAGCCCGGATGGCACGCATCCTATCAGACCGCTCACTGTACCAGCTGACTGCTACGGAAAGAGCAAGAGTGTGAGAATGTGCGTGTGCCAGAAGTTAAAGGGACACGGCAGCCCATGGGCACACATTTAGCCACGCGTGCTTATGCAGTCAGCCATGCTTATGCATGTGCACAGAAACAAAAACTCCCATCTGTTTCCTATCTATATGTCAAACTGAGTAGATAAAACTTGGAAAAGGGCAAATAAAGCAGCTGCAACACACACACACACACACACAAACAGAAGGCAGCTTTCTCTACACACTGGGCAGCCATTCAGACAGCTCTCAGTAACAGTAACCAACGGCAACCCTAAAACCAGCCCCCTTTCCCTTCCTCCTCAAGAGACGCAGATCCATTGCCCGGTTAGGGGAGAGCCGACTGAACTAGCACACAGAGTGCCTGAGAGTAAAAAGAGGCTGTAACTTTACCCACTCTGTCCTTACTGAAGTGCAGCACTACCCCCGCCCCCCTCTCCTCTTAAAGGTTAAGGGGGTTAATTATTCAACATGAGAGGGGATTTTAAGGGAGAACTGAAAGTGGACACAAGTCAACATAAACCCCTCTTTTGTTCAATTCATCCGCTCTCTCGCTGACTCTGAAATGCACTTATTCCCATGAGCAGAGGTACGAGCGGAGGCTTTTTTCACTCTTGGACGTCCTCCATGATAAGCCGCACACTCAAGACGCACACTGCAAGACTACACTCACACACAGCTGAATGAGAGCGCACTCATCCTTCTCCACATGTTCACAGCTTCTCGGCAAAAAGAACAAGAAGACACCGTCACTTCACTCTCAGCGTGGCTCTCTTACCATTGTGGTTGTGCTGCAGGGTCTCAAGCACGCTGGCAGAGGAGTCCGTCGCTCCCAGCTCGGCCAGTCTGCGGCTGGTGGCGCTCAGCTCTGACCGCAGGTTGGTCACCTCCTGGCTGGCTGACTGAATGGCCCCATCGATGCGCTGGGCAAGCTGCTTGTTGTCATCCATCATTTTCAGGATTTTTGCCTGAGGAAGAGAGGGGAATCCAGACAAGGTGTCATGCTGACAAGTTGACCATTTCCTGGGAAGGAAGGTGTCCCCAAATAAATTCCTCCTTTTTTTTCCCTGTCCTGATTGCTCCTTTTCCCTTTTTGTTTTATGAGAAAGCCAAGTTAAATCCTCAGAGCAGTTAGTCCTTTCCCTTAAAGAGAGGCATCCGGCTCAGGGGAAATGTGTGTTTGCTGGAAGGAGTGTACGTTTCAGAGGCTGTGTGTGTGTGGTGAGAGTGTGTCAGTGTGCAAGCATGCCTGTGTGTGTGTCTCTGAGAGTTCGGTAACAGCATGAGTGTGTCTGTGTGTGCATTAGAGCGCCAGCACTGCCCCTGTGAAATGTGCTCCCCGCAGCTGACTGTTGAAAGGACACAGAGCATTGAGAGATGACAAGCGCCTTTTTAAATGGACTGTACCATTCGCAGAGAAAGGCGAGGGGGTGGGGGAGCACGCTAGGACACATAAGCACATGGAAAATCAGAGTTTCTCAACACAGCTGTTTTCAGGAGATATTGTCTGAGGTTCTGGGAATGCGCTCATTGCTGAACAAACTCGCAACAAATTTCTGTAATCCGGTGAAAAAGGACTAAATCGAAACACTGCAGCTTTTTCTCTTTCTAACTTTCTGCATGCAAATCCTGCACAGGACTTGTGGACAAAGGGAAGGAAATCATTAGTTTGACAAAGGAGCAGTTGTGTGGAAAAAACAATAATAGTTGTGCAAACAGGGCTTTTTTTTTTCACATTATCACAGCGAGGTATTCGTCCGGCAGACAAAGGCGTTTTTTGAAGCCCTGCTGTAATGTTTCAGGCTGAAGTTAAAAAGGAACGTATTCATCCCTTCAAATGTGCTCTAACATTGTTTAATTGAAACATAACACATTTTGAGATCCATTGAGTCGACTCGGATATTATTATGATAGGAGTGTTCAGAGTAACTCAGTTAAGATTTGACATATTATTCTGTATAGCATTAAGCGGGGGGGCTATGAATGCAATCATAGGCTCCTTCCTGCCTATCCTTTAGACTAAGAATGAGCTTTAGCCCAAGGCTGACTGCCACATGTGGAAATGTCCTACATGCTGTGTGACTAACTATGTAATACATAATTTTTTGTATCTGTATCCAAAATCTATGCTCTGCCTTCATAATTGTAATTCTTCTTGCTTCCTTCTTTCCTTTGCAGTGCCACAGAGGGGTATCTGCAGTGTGGCTGTGAAAACTGCTGCTTATATATTAGAAGTATTGCAAGACAACAACATTACTTTCAAAATGTAAAGTATACCCCAGAAACTGAACAGGAGACAGACTGATTGCGGAAGCTGTCTATATAGAAAAGCCTCACGATGAATCCGGTGCAGCCCATTTGTAAGTGAGCCGAGCTGACAGGGAATAAACATGTTTCTCAATAGTCATCGGATACAGGGCTTAAAGGATTACACTGCCTTTCTTTTTATTGTCGCTGCACATGTAAACATAGTTTGGATCCATTTCACATCATGCATTAGCTTGGCATTCTTGTACATGAATATTAGGGCTGCCACAAACGATTATTTTGATAGTCGACTAGTCACCGATTATTTTTGCGATTAGTCGACTAATCAGATCATGCATCCATTGGACGTAAACCGTATTGCACCAGAATGCATCTGCTCTTATATAATTATCATTAGCTTACAGCTTTTAAGTGTTTAAGGTATGTGCTAACTAAAAAATAAAGACAAGATGATAGTTTATTACATTTTAATGAAATTTGCAGATTGTTTCGATGAAGTTTAATAAACTCATTGTTATCTAAAATATAACAGGACACCGGAGTATATTCTCGAGCATCTCACACTTCTGATAATCAGTTGCCTACTTGACGTTTATTCAGCTGTGTAAAAACTATAACTTTAATCTCAGCCAAACCGATTAACTCAGAAACAAATAAAATACTAAAAAAAAGCCAAACAATAAAATTTTTAAGTTATCTAAGTGACTTATATATGTTTAACCTGAGTAGCGAAAGACAGTGCTGGGTTTGAAAACGATTTGCCAGAGTCCGTGTTCTCAC